GGACCGGGCGGGGGGAAGCCCCGGGGGAGGCGGCTTTTGGTTTGGGGTTTTTACGCCTTGCTGCGCCGGCGGGGTGCGGAGAGTAAGTTGCTGAGCGGTGTGTGCGCGGGGGGGGCACAGGGTTCGGGTGGAAAATGCAGGCAGCTCCCCTCCGGGTGTGTTTCTGAGGGTTGTTTTGGGGGTTTTGTTGGTTTGGGGTTTTTTTGTTTTGGTTTCTTTTGTTTGTTTGTTTGTTTGTTTTGGTTTTGTTGGTTTGGTTTTTTTTTTTTAATAGGGCACAGAGGAAAACGTTAGTGCACAATGCTGAAATTGGTGATCTGGTCGCTGAGGCAGGTATCCGAAAAGCGGCAGTCGCTGGAGCGGCTATTTTACTGTCATTCTTCGTGCTAGCGTGAGGTTTATGTGCCTTTGCAAGGAAGGTCACTTTTTAGACACCCCCCCCCCCAATCCCACCCTCTTTTTGCTAAGCTGTGCATCAGCAGTGTGAATTCCAAGAAGCAGTAGGTGTTTCTTGGCATTTCAACTGGGATTTTGGAAAAGGAAGCTGGGTATTTAATGGGAAAAAATTGCGATGGAAGGAAGGGATGCGGAGGCTGCACACAGCCCTGGGTTTGCAGGCATGTGGAAGTTGTGGAAATAGGTAAAGGGTTGAAATTGGCATTTGGAAAATGGTGACTGTTTCTTTAGTTACTTATATCATGGACGAATATAAGGGAAAATGGGCCACTAAGAATTTTTCCTGTTTTGCAGTTTGCTGTCAGCAGAAGGTAAAACATGTCCTTGAAGATATACAATTTTACATAAACAGCTGATGTTTACATAAGCCTAGATAAGTTTGTGAAAAACAGAGATAGCCAAAGATGCGGTGTTAGCTGAACTCGGCTATCCTGCTGTTTGTCTGTGTAATGATTTATCTTTTTGTTGTATTGTTGCAGCGTAAGAACAAAGTAAGCAGCTGTACCTTTACCAAAGCAACCACCTGCGTTCCACCTCTCCTCTGGAATGGACAATGGGATGGTCTCTGACTTTATCATGATCAAAAACTTCTTCCTCTTCTGCGTTTCCATGAGTTTAGCCAGCCACTTCGGGTGAGTTGCCGATTGCATTTGAATTTTTGCTGTGTTTCTTTTAAGGAAATGAAAAACCTTGGCTCCATGTGGTGCGGAACAGCCGAACAAAACAAGCGGGCTTTGCATTTCATCTTAACGTGCTGGTGTCAGGGGGAAGGGAGCGAGATTTGCTTTCCTGCTTAAATTTACTGTCTTGGATCGGTTCTTTATGCCCATTAAATGCTGTTGCGGGAGGGCTTGGGGGGCACAGGGAGCTCAGACCAGGCCTACGGCTGCTGAGTGCTCTGCCCTGGCATAGCACAGCCCGGGGCTGCGGTGCTCCCTGCCGCCGTGGCTTCGATGAGCGGGGCTTGCACCTTCCCTCTCACCTGGTGGGTGCAGGCTATAGGCAGTAGTGCAAAGCTGCAACAGCAGGATTTGGTGCATGCTGCTAGCTGGTACAGGCTTTCCTAGTGAGTAAGCTAAGATCATGACTGCTCGGAACGATGGCTGAGTTTGAAACTTGCTGGAATAATTAGAAATTGTGTTTCCCTAAAGCACACAACAAGGAATCCTGTTTCCTTCGTTTTGCTTTGGATGCTTTCCTGACGGTGATATTCTGAAAACTGTATTGAAGAACTACTCCTACTGTAGCTCTTAGAAAAAAAAACAACAAACCAAACAACCCCCCCCATTTATATGTTTTTTCCTAAAGCCAGAGATCTTAAGAACTTTCCAAAATCGGGCTATGCAATGGAATCTAGAAAAAACATTTCACAAGTGCTCTGGAAACGTAGGTTGATTCTTTTTTGTGGAGGAGAACAATTATTTATGATTTCACCAGAAAAAAATGAATCCTCCCAACATGCTGATTCACAAGCACACCCATCAATTCCTTGCTATAAGAAGATACAAAATGGAGATGCAAATCAGTTTCTGATTTCAAGCAAGGTGATTTTTTTCCAGATTGGAACTAGGAGAAGGACCAAACTTTGAGTGACGACTGTCTATGATGTAAGCAAAACTTAGTCTGGTCTCCAGTGTGTGTCCTGTGTAGGCAGGCGGAAGGCTGTGACCACAGTGGCTTATATGTATGGTTGTAGGACTGCACACTACGAGGACGCAAAGAGCTGCATGCTGATTTATTCACCTTGGAAAAGCTTGATCCTGCTTTTGCTGTGGTCTAAGGCAAAAATCCCTGGACTTTGTGACAGAAACGAAGAGGGCTTAGATAGTGCAGGACTGGTTTTAAACTTGTCAAATTGCAACCATGTCAAGACAACGTATTACCACATTGAGAAAATCTTGAGGACTATAATCTTAAGTCCTTCCTGATTGTCCATCATCCCTGCAGAAGGCAGCACATTGCAGTAGTAGAGCATGACCTGTTTGGTGTGGGGTCTTTTAACTGTCTTACTCCTCTAACAGAAGAATAGTTAGATGGCTGCAAAAAAACTGAGGGTTTAATTCTCCCTTTTGACTCCAAAGCAAATACTGAATCTAAGTCCCAGGTAGGAATCAGTGTGACCTGTAACCTGGCAGATAATCAGAACAGGACAGTTAGGGGAAACTAGGACACTTGTTTTCTGCGAGTTACTCAAAAAGCTTCTGTGCACTAAAATGAGATCATCATGTAACCTCCCCCTCCGCCCCCCATTTCTGATCTAGTAATTTTAGTCTGGGCCTGCAGAGATAAGCAGCCCCAATTCACCACACCATTCACACGCTGCCTTAGGGCTGAATTTTGACCCTGCTCAAAAGACAGAGGATGCTCCAGCGCTTCTGTTTCAGAGGCAGAAGCAGTTTCAGAGTGTAATTTGCTAAGTGCTTTGGGACTGACTCTTCAGGACGGAATGGTACAATTTACATGTAGGCTGGTATATTAACTGCAAGAATCTAATGCTGATAAAACTTGCTGTTGCTACCAGGTTCTTCTTCATTAGCTTCATCCATGTTTGGACTGCACCGTTACATTGCAGTGCATTTTGCAATGTGCTAGCTAAAAGTGATTGGTCAAACGAGCACAAATTAAAAAGCAAAATACAGTAGGACTTTACAGATGAAGGCAGAGATTTGTCTACAATTCTCCATAGTCATTCTGTATTTATATTAAATCATAAATACAGTTTTTTGCTGACATAACCAAAGCCACCTTGGGGAATTTTGATGCACAATGCCTAGTAAAATAAACAGGAATTATGTATCTCGGTCTCCTAGGCTACTTCAGAAATCTCAGCAAAAGTCTGTGGTTAATGTTTAACATAAATGTGGAATGACTATTGAGAGTTATCCACATCAATAAGTGGTATGGAAGGACTGTAGACATAGTTGGTAGAAGTTATTTGAAGAAAAATCACTGAATTAAATTCAAAGATATAGATGAAAAAAGAAGAGGCTGTGAAGCCCCCCACCGTTGTCGGTGTAACAGTTTTATGAGTCTACTTCTGCAGAAACAGCCCAGCACAAGTCAAGGGTTTTTCAAGCTTGCTTGCATTCAGCCTTGAGTTGTATAATGCTCTAACGAGTTAAGGTATTTTACTGAAGCATATCAAGATAGTTCGCAATTGTCTTGAAAGTAAACGCTAATAATAAAAGTCAAATACAACCGCGACAAGTGTTTTCAGCTGAGACCAGGGTCTGACTCCTCGTGGGCCCTTGGGGAGCCCACGTAGCGGCAGCCCTGCGAGGGTTGGCCCCATGGGTGACTGCCTGCACCGAGGTCTCCCCAAGACGAGATAGCATGTGGTTGGCCCCATGCCAGCCAACCTTACTGCATCCTGATGGTTTGGTGTTTTTTGCAAGCCCCAGACTGTCCATGGGCACATCTCTGGGGACATGCTGGTGACGCACAGTCCCTGTGCATTTGCGTTTTGGACGTGCAATTTCAGAAATGTGTCCGAGAGCCAAAACTGACAGGGACGGATGTTGTTGGTGTACCCGCAGTTTAGTTGCCATCTGCTAATAATATTTATAATAGTAGAAACACAGAAAACAGAAGATCCCAATTAAATGTAGCCAACACAAGACTTCTCTGTACACTGTAAGAATTCAGTCCGTGGTGTGTCTGTAGTTTCACATACTTTTCCACTCGCTCACAGCCCTTATCTCTAAGACCATAATCCTGCTATTTAGGCTAAACATACCTCTCCTTCAGGCTGTTATTTCAAGTTAGTCTCTGCAACCCTAAGCAGTTGGTTCTGCTGGGTTATCCCTTTCCAAGTATTTGCAGATGTTAGGGAGTTCTTCCTCATATTTTTAAGACCAATTTTGTAAGAATTATCATATCCTTACGCAGTCGTGCTTGTCTTTATTTTTTTTTATCCTGTTTTCCTTTCCTTCTCCATGTCTCCAGATAGCTTTTTGAACTCATTAGACAATTTTAATAATTGGAAAACTAAGCGGGTACCTAGAACTGCTTGGAGGAGGCAGACAGACATCAGTCAATCCCTCTACTGAACAGAAAGCTACAGCTTCAGCATCTCTGTTTCGCTTGTCCTGCCAGCTGGCCGGATAGCAGGTGCGTACCTGCAGGCCATCCAGCACGTGCTTGGTGCAGGACCAGCCGTGGCACGCGTTGCCTCCTAGTGAAGCTGCAGGTCAGTGACCTGGGAGCTGAGACTACTGGGAGGTGTTTAATGACCCTGGGAGAAATTTGGGATATTGAGAGGGGCGTTAAGGTGCAAGGGGGTGAGGACGATAAGACGTCGCCCTTTGAAGAACAGGCTTTCGTTGCACTGCTCGCAAATTGCTCGTTCCCAGAAGGGAGTAAAATACTGCTCTTGCTAAATAAAAGAATGAAATTATTCTTTAAGTATCTGTAAAGACCATTAAAGTTTCATCATTTTAGTCAATCCTCTATCCTAATCTGATGTGAAAGAACTGAATCTTCATTGCACAAATTCACAAAATATCAGCATTTTTAGATTTTTAAGAATCTGTAAGAAAGGGATGGCAAGAAGCTAACTTAGAAAAGTAAATCTTTTTCCTTTGATGCCTGGCCAGCTGGTAGTATCCAAAAGTGTGCAAGTGCGTTCTCCACTGTCTTTTCCACAAACTGTTAATTTGGCTGAAGTTCTGGTATAATTCCAATCCTATTAAAGCAAGTTATTGGAAACTCTACTCCTAAGAGAGAGAGAGAAAAAAAAATACAACTTTCAATAGCAAAATACTCTTCAGTTATTTTTCCAGTGTCTCTTACCTCCCCCTATCCCCCCCAAAGTTTTGGGAAAATCATGACATATCTACCATATGTTTTCCTCTTATTACAACTAACATATGAATAGTACCTGTCATGATTTTGACTAGATGGCAAAAAAGGCAGTGATGTTTAAAATGGTAAACTGTGAACTCATCAGAAGAGGTAGCTGATCATCCTCAGAGAGTTATTACATTTTACACAGATGGGTCTCTTCTGTGGCTTCTGATTTTTTCAGTCACCCTGAAATTGCAATATTAAATAAATGCGATGAGAAGTATTCCTGGTTGGTTTAGTTTATGCTCAATAATGAGCTTTAAATGTAATTATCTTTGAATTTTCTTAGCATTTTCCTAAGGTTCTTTGTCTGCTACAAAAACATTTTTGGTTGCAGAAAGGCAAGAATGTGCTTACCTACTAATATGTTGATAAAACCTAATCTTCAGCTGTGTGGAAATAATTTATTTAGGATCTCACCTGTTTGCTCTCTATTCATAGAGCTATAGTATCTAATATATGCGTGTAACTTTGCAAGTATGGTTTAAAGGTCTTATGTCATAAAGACAACCTCAGCACTCACTCCAAAATGTGTATTTCACCAGCAATCTCAAAAATAGAAATTAAATGCTAACTTTTCTGTGAAAGAAAAAGTAACATTTGCATTAATGGCAAACAGTGATCCATCTACAAATGTAACTTCACATAATACTGACATTTTGCCAAAATTCAGTATCAGATGCTGCCTTTTTCGGGTGAAGCGACCTGCCAAATCTAAATTGGATTGCAGTTTTGCAGATGAAGTGCAGACTTTTTATGAGTCTTCACCCTAGTTGTTTCTCTATCTTTTTCATCTCTTAATTAGCTTTTCTTGTGGAGATATAAAAGTATTTCAGTATTTGAGGTGTGTATACTATTGTTGTGAAAGATGTACATAGCTGAGATGGAAGGAAGCAGCATCAATTACTCTTGTTAGGTTCAGATGAGCAGTTATGAGAACTAAGTATATTTTGTCCCATCCCCACAAAAATAGTTCAATGGAAGTCTTCCATCTGAGTTCAGTTGGCTTTGAATTCAGCCATAAGCACTAAAAATAACAAGCTTTTTCAAGGGCAGAGAAACTAGTGAAGCTTTGTGTCCTGTGCCCCCAGCACCGTACCTTTGCAATAATCCCAGCTCTGTATTTGGCATCCCTTGTTCCCATCTCCCATTGCAACATCTGCATTTTACCTCTGTGGTCCTTTTCTCCCAGGATCTTTCCTAATCACCCTGCAAGTCTCCTCCATATCTCTTAATTAGCAGAGAGGAGGTGGGCTGGTTTTGCTGAGGCTGTTTCTGAACTACATGCATGCTGACTGGCCCAGTCAGTGAGCCAAAGGGAATAGATGACTGCTGACCTCACATTTTTACTTAATGAGGCACTAATTTAGACCGCTCTCCCCTTGTCTAGTCACTGCTTCTCATGAAACTTGTAGGAATGAAATGAAGTTTGATCTCTCTGCTTCTTTGTCAGATGCATTGGAAGATGAAAACGGGTTCCTACATTGATATGGTGAAGCAGGCAGACAGCATGATGCATATCTCTTTCTTATGAAAAAAGGAAGCTAAAATAAATGAGAAAAGTTTAAAATAGTGTTCCAGGATTTTACCAAAGCATTAGTTATGGTTGCTGCATATGAAGAACCTCTGTAACTTCTGTCTCCTGTTTGTATTTGTTAGGCTGCTGCTTGTAAATATTCACCTTTACATGGTGAATATTTGATTACGATTGACAAAAAAGTATGCAGTCTTTTGTCTTGAATGGTCCAGCATGCAAGGATGTCTAATGTTTCTGTAATCAGTTGCATCTGCTGGATTAACTGTCTCTCATTACAGTCAAACATGTCCGCGACGTTGTCTGCCTCAGTTACTCTCTAGAGGCTGTGGTCACAGCAATTAATTAATTTGGTCTTCTGACCACAGAGAGATGGGATGGCCTGAAAATGGGCGAGATTTGCGGCTATGCCTCCGCCTGCAGCGAAGGGGAGCTCCGTGGTGGCCCTGGGCTCGCCGGTGTTGAGCTAGTTGAGGGTCGTGGCAGTGCTGATGGCACTCAGAACGCGAGGAGCCTCCTCGGCCAGGCGTTTGTGTGTGCTTCGGCATTCCTGGGAATTGGACCTGTGCTCCCACCGCCCAGCCGCGCTACCCTTTCCTGAGAGGCTTTGCAATCCGTTGTTTTTCCCGCAGAAGCACACAAGCTGTAAGGGGAACAGGCGCAGGACTGGGGGTTCCCATGTCTGTGAGGGGCCAGCAGCTCATCCTGAGCCAGGGCTCAAGTCACTAAAACTTCCAGACCCATTACGTGGGTGTCAGCAAGGTCCCACTAGCGTAAAACCAGGTTGAGGTCCCTTGTCTTTCTTTGTATAAATCCTGTTCTGTTAGGTAAGCCTAAAGCATATGTTACTAGCATTCTGCAAGGCAAGCTGTTCAGAGGGATGCTTTGAGGTTCTCTATTTACTGATTTATTTCCCTGGGGACTGGTAGTAAATAAACATGGATTTTTTAAATTTTATTATCTCTGAGTGACTGGCTCACATCGAGTTCAGGTTGTTGGAGTGTAAGTGATTCCTGTCTGCTGGCAGGGTGCATGAGGCAAGGTATGGTTCCTAGTGGGGCCATGGGCCCTGTCGCAGCTGGAGCATTTGTTGGCAATTTCAGCAGAGACTGAAACTTGAGTAAGCACTGAATGTGAGCAAACTTGCTGTCTTAAGAGGTGCTCATTGCTTGCTGCAGGTGAAGCATGCTTATGGATAAACTTATGTGTCTGTTCTTTAGGTATGCAAAGGCATTAGTAGGCAGGGGATTCTCCTAAGCATCATTAAATGAAAATCAAATGGACTTAGAGCTGTTACAGTTTGTGAGCTGTGAGCAGCTTCCTAGGTCTGAGCCATGGATTAAATGATGAAATAAAAAAGAGTTCAGAATAAAACCAGATCTGGCCCAAATGATATAGAATGAGGCCCACTACACATTGCTGTTATTTGCATACTACAAGGGAGGACTAATTTATGCAAAAGAGAGAGGAGGAATGAAGAACTGTTTTTTCTGTACTGCAGCATGTTTTTTCAGATACCCCAGTGATCTCGGGTGGGATTTCTGAATGCAATGGGAGTTCCTTATCCTCAAATAAGGTTAGAGTTCATTCTTTGTTCTCGCAAAAAATTACAGAAACTGTGGAAATTGGCAGCTGTTTGGCATGTAAGGATTAAAGAGTACATTGAGGCAGACTTGAAGGAGTGTCCCCAGGCAAACCTGTTCTGCTCCCCTGCCAGCTGGTGCAGTTCCCAAAGACTGGAGAGCTAATCTGGGGAAAAACCAGTAATGGCTTTTGCTGGCCCTGGGAGCTGACCTTGCTCCCTGCAGGGGACGGCAACTTGCCAGTGCTGGGGAAATGGTGGAGCTGAAGTGGGGCAGGGCAGCGCAGGGGACTGGGATCTCCCTGTCTATTATGGCAAGAGGGTCAGTGGGCTCGGATGTCCCCAGTCCAGCACCCCAAGGCTGTACCTCCATGGCATGGGTCCTTCCTTGGGTCCTCCTCCTCCAGGGAGAGCTATTTATGATTGCTTATAGCAGTGGTGAAACCGCTGCAGCTCCCTGTGCCTCTCAGCTGGAGCGGCAGGAGGGGGCAGAGGCTTGGAGGCTCCGTTGCAAAGTTCGCTTGAGACTGAAGCCCCTTGAGGCCAGCACACCTTTTGATGTGTTTCTTTCCGTTTGCATAAAACAGCTTCTCGCAAACGCCAACAGCATCGGGAAAAGAGGACGCCAATGATAACATCACTATATTCACCAGGATCTTGGATGGTCTGCTGGACGGCTACGACAACCGACTGCGCCCGGGACTGGGAGGTAGGATAACTCATTTGCTGTGGCCGGACCCCCACTATGCAGGACCATCGCCTACATGATGCCCTCCCAAATGGGTCCCTGCTCTCGGCATGGGCCTTGACGAAGGAGTTGTGTTTCATTAGCTAAACGAAGCCCAGAAAGTAGATTTGTCTCCTGGCAAACGGGGCACAATACAAAGGCCACTGAAAGTCGTCTTCTTTCAGTCATTGAGGTCATTTGAGGTTGGGTTAGGAGAGCTTGTGTGATGCATTTTTTCTGTAATTGAATACAGTCTGGTTTTTTTTTCATTCTGGTACTCCCTAAGGTGAGTGAGACAGGGTGCTAGTAGGTTGCTGCAAGGTTCCTTCACTGGTCAGCATGTATAAAATTACGCTGGTGACAAAAATCTCTGTTAAAAACAGATCCCCAAGCCATCCGCTTTTAGACAGCTACAGCAAATCTGTATTGATACGTCATTTTGATAACCTCTACAGCAGCTATTTTAAAACCACAACATGTGAATAGTTGCTTGCCATCCTAACCTTGTTGAGCCCTCCTTCAGCTCCAGAAATCCCCCAGATTTCTCTCATCTTCTACCCATGTGTAAACCATCTGTTATGTTTCTTCCTGGCCCTTTTTTATCTGGCTACCCCCACCCCTTCGTCTTGTGAGACCAACACATTGCTTTCATCCCTTTCTCTCCTTCTTCTCTCACTTTACACAGAGATGCTTGAAAATAGGGCTCGATGCTCCTATCTTATGTAACAAACTTCTGAAATTTCTGCCCTTAAATTAAATTAGTCCTGGATTTGAAAAGATGCCAGAAGGACTTAGAGTCTTGAGGGTAGAATTAATTTCACCTAACTTTGGACATCTATAATATAGATGTCTGAAATTGGGCAGATCACCCAAGCCAGTGGAGGGGAATATGTCCTTCCAAGATACACTTCATCTCATCCTATAGTAGGTACGGAATGTGTGCCAGCAATGTGTGCTTACAGCCAGAAAGCCAATCGCCTCCTGGGCTGCATCAAAAGAAGTGTGGCCAGCAGGTTGAGGGAGGGGATTCTGTCCCTCTACTCTACTCTTGTGAGTACTGCGTTCAGCTCTGGGGCCCTGAGCATGAGAAAGACATGGACCTGCTTGAGCGGGTCCAGAGGAGGGCCATGAAGATGATCAGGGGGCTGGAGCACCTCTCCTGTGAAGAAAGGCTGAGAGAGTTGGGGTTGTTTAGCCTGCAGAAGAGAAGGCTCCAAGGAGACCTTATAGCAGCCTTCCAGTACCTAAAGGGGGGGCCTGCAGGAAAGATGGGGAGGGACTTTTCTTTACAAGGGCCTGTAGTGATAGGACAAGGGGTAACGGCTTTAAACTGAAAGAGGGTGGATTTCGATTAGGTATAAGGAAGAAATTCTTCCCTGTGAGGGTGGTGAGGCACTGGAGCAGGTTGCCCAGAGAGGCTGTGGATGCCCCATCCCTGGCAGTGTTCAAGGCCAGGTTGGATGGGGCTTTGAGCAACCTGGTCTAGTGGGAGGTGTCCCTGCCCATGGCAGGGGGGCTGGAACTAGGTCATCTTTAAGGTCCCTTCCAACCCAAACCATTCCGTGATTCTGTGATCTATGATCAAAACCTGTCGGTCAGAGGAATTGCATCCTTGGAGGGCCTGTTTCTTTCCACTGCTTATAAGAAGAGAGCCTGGGCTCCCAAAGGTCAACAACTGCATTTGATCACGGATGAAATTCCTCCTCAAACATCTTCTTAATTTCAGGCTTTTGGGGATTTTTGAGTGATTCAAAAATTGTTAATTGATAAATGCATCACAAGCACATATTTGCATCTTAAAGCAATTACTAATGCAGAGCCTATATTTATTACAGAGAGAATAACTCAGGTGAAAACAGACATCTATGTTACCAGTTTTGGTCCTGTGTCAGACACAGAAATGGTAAGTTCGAGCATGTGGCTGCCAACTCCATTATATTTACTTCACTAAAGTAATTTTTGGAACCATCGCTTCTATTCAGATCCTGCAATACCTCGACTGTTTCTTTGTGCCAGGAATACACGATTGACGTTTTTTTCCGACAAAGCTGGAAAGATGAAAGGCTGCGATTCAAAGGACCTATGCAACGCCTCCCTCTTAACAACCTGCTTGCCAGCAAGATTTGGACCCCGGACACTTTTTTCCACAATGGCAAGAAGTCTATTGCTCACAACATGACAACCCCAAACAAACTTCTGCGCCTGGAGGATGACGGCACTCTGCTGTATACCATGAGGTAATAACCGGGATCGATTCCTTCTGATGCTGATTCCCAGCTAGCTCTGCAAATACTTGTGGGGAACATCACTTCCCCCACTCCTAGCAGAGCCGGGAACCAATCTTTCACACATATTTATGTGAATATCAAGAAAAATGGAGAACATAATCGCTGCCTACAAGTACCAATTAATTTGTAGCTTCTGAATACTGCTTGTGCTTAAATATTTCCTTTGATTAAATGGAAGGCATATTCTCAACAGATTTGATGATTCAATCCAGCTTCTTTATGAAGATCTGTTCTCTCTCACTGTTTGTATTTGCAGCTGCAGTGCTGATTGCAGGAGAACTGTCTCCAAGGCCAGAAACTGAGATCTTGTTCTGGGGCAGTGCATCTTGAACCCTGGGAGCTTTTATTATTTTTTTTTCTTTTATTTCACTAACAATGCTAAAAGGCAAATCATCATAGGGATAAATGAAATAAGCTAGCAGCACTGTGAAGCTGCTTTAGCAAGTACTTTCCTGAAAATAAAACTGGCACATTATATTGGCAGAGAAGCAAATTGGTGTCTCAGATCTTCAGGGTCACGCTCCTCATCTGATTAGAGGATACTGTCAAGCTTCATCATTGCATAACCTAGATAGAAGATATAATATCGTTGATGTTGGAGGATTGTCTGAAATTCTTCTCAGACCAAATCCCACATTGGTGTACGGCAATTTGCTCATTAAAGGTAATTAGCCTGCAGTAATTAAGACTGCCATCTATCTTCAACAGGGTTTTCTCCAACAGCGTAGTCATACGGACAACACTTGGAAAAGAGATGAAAGGAAAAACCTACCAAGCAAGAAAGTGTTATTCTAAGCTTTTCACATATGAGCCCAGAGTGGTGCCTGAGACCCAGCAAAGCGCTTGGGAGCCTGAAGTGAGGTGCTGAGATGCCCGTGTTTTCAGCAGGCAGCCCCCAAAGAAGAGAGGGGGGAGCTGAGCAGAGCCAGCAGCCACCCAGTGCCGCATACTGGGAGGGCGAGCCCCGAGCTCGCTCCCAGCGCGCGGTGGTTAAGACTCATTGGGGCTCAAGGGGATTATGCTTTCGTAGGCAGGCACCTGCAGCTTCCCAGATTTTACTTCAGGTGTTTTTGACTTGTTCTATTTATTTATTTATTATGGCCCTAGTCTTAAATCCCTTCTTCTGAAAGGAAAAGAGATGTAGGAGAAGTAAGGTGTCCTTATGTAAGTCCTTGCAGCTTTAGACCATCACAGTTGTAACTGCACTGGCACTAAAAAGGCTTAGACATGATAGAGGTCATGTTTAAAAGAAGGGAAAAAACCCCTCATTTTCTCTTCTACTATGGGTGTTGCTGTTCTTACTAGCCCCAAGTTAGTGATCTCCACAATAATAAACTGAAACAATGTGAGGATACACATACACATTTAAATAAATGTCAGAATAACTATGAGAGAAACTTATTTTCACAAAAATATTTGTAACGCTGGCCTTAAAATCAGTCTCACCGCTGCTAGGACTGCACTAGTACCGCTCCAGAGACTGCTGCAGAGGCAATTCCCAATTACCTGTTTAAATTACTTGTGTAAGTAAAGTCCAGATCAGGCTCGCAGTCAGCCTGGAGCAAAACATTACGTTTTGTGGCAGATTTGCAGCTGGCATGCTATTTTTGTGCCAGCGCTGGGTTTTGCAGTGTTAAAGAAATGCGGTGAAGCGCTGATTCGTGAGGCAATGAGCTGAGCCACCTGAGGCAGAGCAGCAGGACCTGGGTGAGCGAGACCTGGGTGAGGTCGCCACTGAATCTGAGTTACTCTGCCTCTCCTGTGACCCTGGCAGAATACTGTCACATTACATGTCACAGGCTATAGGTATATTAAGGAAAAGACAGTGCCCTGCTCAGCATATGCAGCTGGAGAAAAATCTGGGTTTGACTCAGACTTTCTCATCATCCCACTCAATCCCGTTTCTCCTGGTTTCGATGGGAGGGAAAGCTCTTTGGGATTGATGTTTTTGTAGGCTACAGACTGACACAGAATGCTTTTGTAACCTAAAAAACATGGAACATAACTTTTTTTTTTTGGTAGAGTATTGTGTGTGGGTGTGCATGTGTGTGGAAATAAATTCCCACTAACCATGGTGTATGTGATAAGAAATGGAGTGCAAAGCTTTTTAAATAGCTTGCCTTCCACTATTGCAAGTAATAACTTTAAAAATAAAGGAGTGTCTATGCTATTCTGTTTAAACACAAGTCAGGAGACTGCTTTTGTAATGTGTAAGGAGCTGTGCTACTTTAGGGACAGCAGTTTTTCCGTGATGGCCATTTCAGCAGCATGAGCAATGCTCTGCCGCAAGGTGGCTTGAGGATCCCATCCCAACCTGTGCAGAGGTGGCTGTGACGTGCAGCCAGCCCCCACAGCTGCCTTTGCACGTCCTGACAAAGGTAGCATCTCAGCAGCTCTGCCTAGCATGGCTTTCCGTGAGAAGATTGGCAGTGCTGGGCTTTTTGAGGGGAGAGCTGCTTGTCTCGGCGGTGGTGCACTGGTTGAAGGTACTGGGTCTTAGCCGGGGCTTGAGCCCCATCTCCTGTAGCTCCCATCAGGCTTACTCAGTTCTCAGGATCTGGGGATGTGGAGACAACCCTCTGTTAGCTCTGCATTCCCCTCGTTTCCAAGGAGGAATTGCGAGCTTCCCAGACTGTACGTAGGAGTGATCCGTGCGGGGAGGATTGGACCCTCTGTCATTGACGGAGATGCTGAATTGCTTTTGCAACCTTGCATCTGGCTGCTTGAACGAAGAGGAGGAAAGCAGCCGAGCTGATGCTGACCTTCCATCTTATTTGACTTCCAAATATACCAAATATGATCAGCTGAGCAAACTTCTGGCTTTAGCACTTGTCAGTACATATGTTTTCATGATACATGTGTTTACTTATAACGGAAAATGTATTTTTTTGCATATTGCATTTGATGATTTGTTGTCTAGGTTAGAACTTGATGGGATATATGTTGCTAGGGATATCTGATAAATGGGCTTCTGTATACATGTAGTATTAAAACACTTCTGCATGAATACAGTAACACAACATGCTCTTTAGACAGATTTCATAAGCAGCAGGATTCTCTGCAGGGAACGACTTAATAATTCTGGTTGTCTTTGATTTGGTAGGCCCTATTTGTTTTATTTTATTTATTATATTTATCAAATACACTGCTGAATTGAATGTTGCAAATTCTGTTTCTGCCCCTAGAGGGGAGTATTGTTCGTATCTACACTTTTAATGATTTTATTTATTTATTTATTTTTAGTAAGAGCACTGTGGTAAAAAAGCACTAGCAAATAAGCTTCATATTTCATTAATCTGTATAGAAAATAGCTTTGTAAATGCAGGCAAAAATTTGATTCTTTCTCTTTAAAAGCTTAAAACATATTTAGTTTATCTTATCTGAGAAATAAAAGTTGTAAAAAGCATAAAATTCATTTACTCCATGAAACTGTTCTGAAAAATGGAGACAGTGATTTAAGCAACATTTTCAGGCTAAGAAGGGAACCAACATGTCTCACTGAGCTGCATTTTTTCACTCAGTGGGAATTGGCTATAAAGGCAGAAGCTTTGATAAACTTTACTGTAGAATGCCAGAAAAAAAGCTGCGAAGAAGCCAGAAATCCTATGAAGTAGAGCATGCTCACTAGAGCTAAATTTTTGGACCATAAATTAACTTTTCGCCAGCAGCTCCTAGGCATTTTTTTATGATTTTTTATCAGCTTGTAGATATTAAAAATCTTTTGCTGTCATCCCAAGTGCTAGGCTCCTTAGAGGCCCATTCTCACTGTCATTTTGAAAGGACCCCAAACCCCTTTTGCTACTACTAGGACTGCCCGGCATCTGATCCAATTTGAGATTTTAAATATGCCATGGTCACCTATCTGAAGAGCGTACAAACAGATTTTTCCCATGTTATTATGAAGACTGAAGGTTGCCAGCAATCCCAAGAGTGTTTACAGTTTAATCTGTCCCCTTAATCTGCAAATGCATAATTTATCAGCTGGAGACTGCAAACATTTGTCAGTAAGGTATTAAAAAACTCCAAAATTTTTAGTACAGCCCTGAAATACAGTTATCTTTACCGCTCCTGAAAGATATTTGAAATTCAACACTGGGTAGGATGGCTATCCACTTGATGGCAGCATAAACACGCTGCTTGCTCTTCTGTAGCGAATATACAGGCTTATCTAGGCTGAAAATATTGTTTCTTACATTAGCACTGAGAGTCAAAATTGTATGTGCAAGTGTACACGGCCTGGATGCATGTTAGCACAAAATCTGCTCTTCTATGAAGCGCTTGATTAGCAAGCTAACCATTTTATGCTGTAGAGCTATTGATTATAAAACGTGGTGACTGAAAAATACAGTGCTGCTTTCAAGATTTCCATTAGGAAGGTCAGGTTTCCTTTGCTTGGTGTTTTTAAGGGAAAATTAGGACAAGGGGTGATGGCTTTAAACTGAAAGAGGGTGGATTTCGATTAGATATAAGGAAGAAATTCTTCACTGTGAGGGTGGTGAGGCACTGGAGCAGGTTGCCCAGAGAGGCTGTGGATGCCCCATCCCTGACAGTGTTCAAGGCCAGGTTGGATGGGGCTTTGAGCAACCTGGTCTAGTGGGAGGTGTCCCTGCCCATGGCAGGGGGGCTGGAACTAGGTCATCTTTAAGGTCCCTTCCAACCCAACCCATTCTGTGATTCTATGAAAATTACTCCATGAAAAATGTGTGGGTTCTCAAGTGCTGACTTTGCCAGAAGTCGGCATTTCCCAGATGCAGGTTTGCTTGCATGGCCCTGAGCGAGGAGTAACCAGCAAATCTACACTTTAAAATGAACCCTTAGTTTTCAATCAGCCAGCTGTCCAGATGGGAACATTTCTGTTCAATTTGAATACGTTGTTCTTATTTCAAAGGGAAGATTTCATTTATGCATCCATTTATATTTACAGAAAGGGATCTGTCAATGCTTTTGGG